AGCGCAGCGCGACGGATGGGTTAACGCGCGCCCCTCGCTAAAACGACCATTCGCTCAAATGTCGCCGTTCGCTAAAAAAACAGAGTAGCGGTGTTTATTTTAATTTTTATTATATAGAACGCGATGATCCCCAAGTACTAGAAGTAACATGTATGCTCGGGCATCAAACTAAATAATGTAAGTAGATGTAGTGAACAAGAGTTGGAGCTAGGAACGTGTGCAACTTCTGACCAATTAGAAGTATTAAGACGTTTCTAGGTTCCTTGTATTTCACGTTATTGGATATCTGAGACTACTTTAAACAGTTTTTTCTAAAATGGCTGTCTAGCATTTCAATTAGACAAATTATCGGAAAAACCGAAATAAACCGGTTTTTATGAACGTGTAACCGGTAACCGAAACCGTAAAAATTAAAACCGTAAAAAACCGAAACGAAACCGTTATCAACAGGAAGCGGTAACCGTAACCGTAACCGAAACGTTATATTTTTCGGTTTGAGTCCCTGCTGCAGACTGCGCTTTTCGGCTACTCATTCTCAACACATTCGAACGTGGAAGTAAACACATCACATCAACGACGCCCTGTTTATTTGCAACCTAAATAATGTGGCTCTTCTGTTGGGAGCCAATCAATTTCATCATCAATCATTATTTGTTACAACTTCATGGTGAATGTGTGTTCGTAGTGATGCCACAAAGTGGTCGATTCAAAGGGAGAAATAGGTCCTCGTATTTATTTTGCGGAAATACTCGCTCCTGCGACGCTCTAGTGCGTAAGGTCGAAGCACTCGAGGCAGTGCGTAATACTTTAAAACTGTCGTTGATGATGAGATATTTGTGGGAAGCGCGTAAAATTGTTTACACCACGAAGACATACCTAAACACTACAAAATATCGCAATTGCAAAAAAATAGAAAAAAAAAAAACAAAACAAAAACGATCAGCCTGCGAAAACCGTTGCTTTCTCCCTCCCCCCCCCCCCCTCTCTCTCTCTCTCTTCTTTTTTCGCGCCACTACAAAAAATAGCGGCCGAGCAACGAAATTGTATCAAAACCTCGCTTCTTGGAGAAAGGACACCAGGATATATGGTTGTGAATCTGCCAGGAGTATTTCCATTTTCCTTCCACGCGATTAGAAGGCAAGACGCTGGGGGAATTTATGTGCACTTACATGCTGCCTCTAAAAGAAAGTACCAGATTTCTAGTGCATGTCAACCTACATGTAACTTGTTTAATCAGTGTGCACAAACATTCGCGGCCTGGAGGATGACATGGAAGCATGGCGGAAAGCGGCTTGCTGGAGATAGAAGTCTCTATTGCACTGCACTGGTGTGAAACATTATTACGTATTTTTGTTTTATTTCTGTGCGAAAATAAAAACAGCGTTTAGAAACCGAACACTGAGTTTTGAGGAGCGCCGAAAGGATATAAAAAACCGGGACAACCTGAACAATACGAGGCGCCTTGCGTCACTCAGCTTTTCCTGGTTTCTTGTTTTTCCGGAGCCTTTTAAAAGGGGATGAACAATTATAAACAGATTGACCCGACTTGCCACATTACAGCAGTTCATTTTCATTACGACAGGCTCTCTTCATGCATCTTGCATAATTGAGCTTGTACTGGTCCGTTTTTATTTTCGGTTCCTATCAAAAAGTGATCTCTAAGCCACTGGACCAACCTACAACATTCAAAATTTACGGAAGCGGAGAAGTGGTTGGGAGGGCTAAGCGGGCAAGGGTTGCACGCCTCTCGAACCACCGTCCGTTACATTTGCTTAGTGGCTGGGCTTTGCGAGCAGAATGCGAGCTTGCTCGAGTAACTTGGATCCGTTCAGAATATAATCCCCTCTAAACGACAATCTCCGCCGCCTGGGAAGAACGTAAGGGGGCGAACGAGACGCCTCTGGTATTTTGCGTCACGCCTGCATTTCAAGGGTCAGACTTACTGGTTCCCGATACCAGCACGATTGACGGCTCCGCCCGCGTCTTTGATTGTATATTGATACGGAGAAGAAGGAAAAGAGCGCGACGGCCCGCGGCCGTAGTGTGTTCTGGCTCGCGCTTTGGCGGGCGGGCAATCAGATTAAAAACCTACCGCTGAAAACCACCCCGTGTACATAGTCGAGAACATGATAAGCATCGAATGGGAGTGAACGTAGACATCTAACGATCCGATACAAAGTTTCGCTTGATTCCTAAACGAATAATGCCATAGCCAAGTACACCTTCACATAAAATTGTTAGACAGAATTGAAGACAAGATTGTGTGTTGCTTGAAAGAAATTTCGGCCCCCTTCTATCCGGTCGTGGGCGAACCATTCATTTTGTTGCATTTCCACTTCTCCGCTTCCGCAGATTATGAATATGGTAGTTTGGTGCAGTGGCTTAGAGCTCACGTTTTGAAAGGAACCGAAAGTAAAAACGGAGCAGTACAAGCTGAACTATGCAAGACGCTTGAAGACAGCCTGTCGCAATGGAAATGAACTGCTCTAATGTGGTAAGTCGGGTCACTCGGTTCATAATTTTTCATCCCCTTTTGAAAGGCTCCGAAGAAACAAGGAACCAGGCCAAGCTCTGGTTGTCCCGGTTTTTAACGTCCTTTCGGCGCTCCTCAAAACGCACAGTGTTCGGTTTCCAAACGCTGTTTTTATTTTGGCACGGAAATAAGACAAAAATACGTAATCATTTTTCACACCAGTGCAATGCAATACAGACTTCTATTTTCAGCAAGCTGCTTTCCGCCATGCTTCCATGTCATCCTCCAGGCCTTGAATGTTTGTGCACAGTGATTAAACTATTTACATCTAAAATGACATGCGCTAGAAATCTGGTACTTTCTTTTAGAAGCAGAATGTTAGTGCACATGAATTCTCCCAGCGTCTTGCCTTCTAATCGCGTGGAAGGAAAATGGAAATATCGCGGGCATGATTCGTGCAGAAGGCTAGATTCAATGGTCGCCCATTATTTCTACAAACTCCCTGGCAGATTCACTACCATATATCCTGGTGTCCTTTCTCCAAGAAGCGAGGTTTTGATAAAATTTCGTTGCTCGGCCGCTTTTTTTTTTTTGTAGTGGCGCGGAAAAAAAAAAAAATAAAAGAAATAGAGAGAGAGGAAAACAACGGTTCTCGCAAGCTGATTTTTTTCTGTATTTTTTTGCAATTGCGATATTTTGTAGTGTTTAGGTATGTCTTCGTGGTGTAAACAATTTTACGCGCTTCCCACAAATGTTTCATCGCCAATTACAGTTTGTAAAGTACTACGCACTGCCTCGGGTGCTTTGACCTTACGCACTAGAGCGTCACAGGAGCGAGTATTTCCGCAAAATAAATACGAGGACCTATCTCTCCCTTTGAATCGACCACTTTGTGGCATCACTACGAACACACGTTCACCATGAAGTTGTAACAAATAATGATTGATGATGAAATTGATTGGGTCCCAACAGAAGAGCCACATTATTTAGGTTGCAAATAAACAGGGCGTCGTTGATGTGATATGTTTACTTCCACGTTCGAATGTGTTGAGAATGAGTAGCCGAAAAGCGCAGTCTGCAGGCTGCTTCCCGGAGTTGCCTGATATTTCCCCAACTCGGGAAAGGGGGGGGAGAAAGGGGTGGATGTTGATTGAAGGTGATAATATTTATTCTCACTCAGGAGAGTCGCCGGTCGTTAAAAAGTCGACTCGCTGATAACGGGAAAGCCTGTGGGGCCCCATCTATAGTAACCATGAGTAAAAGGTGGTATACACCTATGTCACTGAGAAATTATGATCGTGCAAACGATGGGGCGTTGTGGATACAGGTGAAGCAAAGACCTATCTTACCATTGTGCCGTCCTCATTAGAAGCAAAAATTACGGTTTGCTTCTTCAACCCCTCCTGACGCCAATCGTTCCAATTTTGAATAAATCCGGGACAGCGTTGATCGCGCAAGCCCGCGCCAATATTTAAAGGTCTTTATCAAGTTATAAAACAGTCATCAAGCAGACGTAAGGAGGAATAAATACGCAAAAGAGTCCAAAATGGGATGAACAATTACCTATGAGAGGAGATGTGTTTCAAACAGTAATGAAGAGATTAGGGAAAGCCACTTGATTTATAAGTTTCGGAAATAAATGTATTATCGACGACCTGAACCCTTTATTGCGCAAGCCAATCCGTGTGCAGACGCGAGAATGGTTCCAGCAGCCGCGCGATGCCAGAAAGCGGCTGCTGGAACGAACCCAGCATACCACGACCCCTCGATCTCCACCGACCGAGCGGCCTCGGACCTGGAGCTCATGGGAAAAAGAGTTCGGTCGCGCTGGCTTCCTCAATCCTGCGGATTGCGCGTGCCCGCGTCAACGAGGGAAGACACCTGGACGTCTCAAGGTCGTTGTGGCGCTCGCAGCTAACCGCTCGTTTCGCGCTTTTTGAGGATTATCCCTACAGAAAAAGCCGACACAAAAGAAGCCTCTGCCGTCACGTGATTTTTGGGAGAGGGTGAAAAGAGGAGGGCGCGAGGGGCATTTTCCTACCTTGCGGAAAATGGTTCCGTTGGTCGGTCTTTAAAGACCGACCAACGAAAGCCAGATGTCACGTGACGACTGGCCAATAGTGTGCGCGGTGGCTAGTTCAAAGAATGGCGCCACTTTTCCCAGGATAGAGGGGCTTTAGGCAGGAGGGATTTCTCCTTAGAGCGCGCAGATTTCACGATTCCGATAGGCGGTGAACAACTGCTCGAACTCCGTGAACCCAGGAGGAAGCCTATCGGAATCGTAAAGCCAACTGAAACGCTGTTCATGGAAGATACGTTGAGACTACAGGTATGCAGACGTGGATTAATGGTTGGGTCCGTGTGTTCCTTTCGCGGCTGCAAGAACCACAAAGGACAGGGGAAAGACGCTTCCTTCTATCGTTTTCCTCGGGACCCAGACATGTACGTAAGTATACAGCCTTTATTATCTCTTGTTCTTCATTCTGACCTTATTTTGATCAAGAATATAATTGAGTATTTCATTCTAGCTGCTGGGAATGCGCAGTTCGCTGCAGGTCCGGACATATTGACGCCGCTTTCGAGAAACAAGGACCGGAGTCTTTGCATAAAAAGCGCGTGTGTTCCGATCACTTTCAAGAGACCGACTGCAACCCAAACTTGAGAAGTCAGGGGTAAGTACATGCATTCAGGTATTATCGCCACTCTAGTCCTTCAGTCTTAATATCCGAGTCGTGAGTTTAAATAAAGTTAATGCCGTTAACTGGATTTTAAGATTGTCAAAATTCGACGTACTCGCGCTCCACGAACTCGTTCAAGAAGGCTCCGTATCGCCTAGTCGACACTCCCTCATCGACAGCACGCTTCATGGAAAACTCGTTTCATCGACAGCACGCTTGAGGAAGTTTCAACGCGCGTGCATTACTGGGATCCGCGTTTATCTATGCCCACTATCCGTCCACGCCGCTTTTTTTTTTTTTTTCGGTGGTAGACAGGCGGCTCATCAGAAAAAGCAGCTATTTTGAGCTGTCGATGAAACGTCGTTCGATGAACTGATTGCCACCGTTCAAGCAAGAGGCTTGCTGGCGCATGTGTTATGTCTGCGTTTTCTGTACCAAAGTCTCCCGAAGCCTCAATTTTGTACAATAGCAAATTTGATCTTGCAGACTAAAAAAAGGAAGCGTGCCACCAGAAGCCTGCCGTCCCAATCTGAACGGTTAGACACTATTTAAGGCGATAATCCTGGGAATGTCAAATGTGGCCCCAAAAGTAAGAATGTTTTAAGCTGATTATAATCTCGTTTACCAGACTTGACAGTTTGACCTTTTGTGTACGCTCATTCAGATTATTTGATACAAGATGCACTCAACTTGCAGCAACCCTGTCGAGCCTGACCACCTTAACACGATCTGCCGAGCCTGACGTGGACATGCTGCCACCAACCATGTTCAACGAAGGCACGTTTCTTTGTTGTACCGCACAGTCACACGTTGAGTAGACTTTCCAAGACCATTTACACATATTCTACCAAATTGACAGTTGGTTTGACCCTTTGTATACGCTCGTTCATAATATCCGATACAAGGTGCACCCAACTTGCAGCACCCCTGTCGAGCCTGACCGTTCCAACATGACCTGCCGAGCCTGACGTGCACATGCTGCCACCAATCATGTTCAACGAAGTCACATCACTCTGTTGTGCAGCACAGCCACAGGGTGAGTAGGCTTTCCAAGACCATTTACATATATTCTACCAAATTAGCAGTTAGTTTGACCCTTTGTGTACGTTCGTTCATGTTATCTGATGCAAGATGCACTCAACTTGCAGCACCCCTGTCAAGCCTGAACGCTCCAACACGACCTGCCGAGCCTGACAAAGACGTGCTGTCGTCAATCACGTACAACGATGCCATGGCAAGAGGGGCTGGACATCGGCTTGAAAATGCAAGAGAGCCAAAATGGTCGCAGAAATATTACCTTCAGCAGATTGCCCACCTGAAGGCCAAGATCCCAAAAGCTGGCATATGCACAGAGAAGGCTTGTCAGCCGGCTAAAGACTGAGGTTGATTCTTTGGGGGAGGCTTCCTTACAAAACAGAATGTTAGATGAGTTTGCGCGGAGATCGCCGTCTCGGGATTTTCTTGTCAATTAGCTAAAACTGCATCAAGAGAGACCAAAAGGCCGTCGCTACACAGAGTACAGCAAGAACTTTGCGCTAGCATTGCACTGTTGTTCAGTACGGTCATATGTATTCTTGCGGAAGACATTTTGCTTGCCGAGTGTGTCTTCCTTCAGGAGGTGGCTGGCCACTTTTGAGGTGCGTCCAGGTATAAATGAGAGTATCCTGAAGACCTTGAAAATCAAAAAGGGCAGATGGCTTGCCAGTTTCAGAAAGTCTCGTCTTTGTTGTTATCGACGAAATTGAGCTAAAGGAGCATATTTCTTACGATGCACATAGCAACTACTTTGAGGGCTTCCTAGATGGCGCTGGCAAGATTGTTCACGCAAATGAAGCCCTTGCAGCAATTATTAAAAACATCAAACGAGGGCATAAGAAGGTCATAGGGTACTTTCTCACACACAATGCAATGCCAGGAACAGCTTTAAAAAAGATTGTCCTAAACGCCCTTAAGCGAATACGCCAGACTGGCTTCATCCCGAAGGTTGTAGTATGTGATCGAGGACAAAATAACATCTCCATGCGCAAGCTATTAGGAGTGAGAGCTGAGAATCCTTTTTTTTTTTTTGAAGACGAAGGTAACAGTCTTTTTTTTTCATGACTCTCCCCAGCTCCTAAAGGCGACGCGGAAAAACCTCAAAAAGTTTGATTTTTCTGCATGGCGATATGGTCTACAAGTGGGACCATATCAAGGCATTCTACGAGAAGGACAAAACTATGACGCCAAGGATGGCGCCGAAGTTCAAGAACATCCATTTAGAGCTTCCGCCTTTCTCTCCAATGCGCGTCAGCCTTGCTGCGCAGACTTTGAGCCTCAGTAAGTGGAGGTATGCTAACACATGCTTCACTTAACTCTCTGCAGTCATCTGCTACCCATACCGCTGGTTTTATAGAAAAGCTAGACTACCTTTTTGACTCACTTAACTCATCTAGACGAAATGATCCAAAGTCTTACAAGCGTGGAGTCACAGACTTATCGCCACACTGGGAATTGTGGAAGGAAATGGAGGCTGCCTTGCGTGAGGTACGGATTCTTAACTCCAGAGTCAAGAACGCAGCTTGTTTAGGAGCTTGGATAGAAAATATTCAAGGTGTCAGACTTCTCTGGTTAGAACTCGGAGATCTTTATGGTTTTAAGTTTCTGTTGTTAAGAAGGACTGTATCGAAAATCTGTTTTCTAAATGCAGTTGTGTTTCTTTGATCTAAAATGATTTCCCTGCATTACCTTGCTTTACTATTGGTGCTGGTAGTGTGTAGAAAGGACCGATTGTATTTCCGGATTATTACTAAATTAAAGTGTCTTAACTCGTCGGGTTTCATTACTTTTACCTTCTAAAATTAATAAAACCCGATGAGTTAAGGCGCGTTTTTTTAAATATGTTTCTTTTCCTTTATTCTTGTCCTTTTTTCTAGAACGTTCTGATATTGTCTTCTTCCTTTCCTTATCTAGCATATTCTTTCTTCTCCTCTTTCTATGATTTTAGTCTCAATTTTATTTTTATCTTTCTCTATCCTCTCATAAGACGTCAGTTGAAAGTAGCGCTCTGTCCTGTCTACTCATTAGGGGGATCGGTGGCCGAGTGGGCTATAGACGCTTTACACACGCGCCAAATTACAGCCGCCATTGTTGACCTTCTCTTGTCTTACCGAGATGCCGAGCAACTGAAACGGTAGTTGACGATCTTCTACAAAGGCCGATGCTTTAGAAAAGGACACAGTTGAATCTAATGGGGCAATACCCTGGCCTGCTATGGTAAAGATGAAGTGAAATAAACGAAATAAGAGGAAACAAAAACTGAAGGTCAGTTATGGCGGCGTCCATGCACAGCTCCGGAAGTGCTCTTTTTAGCCTCAATTGCAAGGAGCAAAAGCGAACAATAATCTCGAACCCAGACGCTCACGGCGAGGAGGGGCTGCGTCGGCCTGCGGCGCTGCTTCCCGCCGCGGGCTCCTTCGCTGGTGAGCCGGCTGCCGTTTCGCCGGCATCGGTCCTGTTTTTACCGTGGTATGTGAGTATAGTACCCGTAATGTGAGAGCCGTTTGTCCATACGCCACTTTGCCGCTGTTGGTTTCCATCTAGCCGAGCCAGAAAACATCTCGCGACGAGTTGACCGCGCCGCGAGTGACGAAGAAAAAGCAAACATGGCGACTGTTTGTACGATTGCTTTGGTGGCTCCGGTGTTGCGTGTCTTCAGCGTCCTCGTGAGAAGATTCCCCTGCCCTTCGATGTTATTGCAACCACCACGAGTGGCACGAAAGATGTGGAATCATCGTCTCAACTACAAATAAGCAGGCCTTCACGAGCAACGACGATGCCGAGCAGGCGCTCGGCACCGTTGTGTCGTCAGATGTTCTACAACGCCTAGGTATTTTCATTTATCATTTGGAATGGCTTTAAGAGTGGAAAATTAATCTATTTCGCGGATCGTTAACACCGAGGCGAGTGCCCTCCGTTGCAGTGCCGTTGTCGCGCAAAGTGCAGAAAAAACCGGGTTGCGATGGCGGCGGCGCTCTTTGATCGCTTTGATCTTGCGCCGTCGGGTTCATGGAGTCCGGAGGAAACGTACGCACGTGCGTCTGCTGGATCGGTGTTTTGGACTGCCTCAAAACTCCTTCTCACGCGCATTTTCCTTGTGGAGCTGAGTAGCTTATTACACCTCGTCGTCGACTGCGCTCATTTGACTACGACGCACGAGCCTGCGTGATGTGAATTTCACTGCCTAAGATCCTTGGTGTGCTTTAACGAGGGCTAATAAAATATCACCGCGAACTTCTGAACAAGAGTCGAAGTCTCGTCTGTTATCATAACTTATCGCCTGTCACAATATTAATCAGTAGCTTTCCTAGACTCCGTCCCTACAGGCACCCTGCTTCGTTGCCCGATAGTAAGTGTCTCCTAGTACCTCGTAGAATTCCAGCTTCCACTTCAAATAAGTACCATCCTTTAGAACTGGCAATTATTAGTCTAGAACCCAGACGTTCGCAGCATGTGTGTGTGTTGTGTGTGTGTGTGTGGGGGGGGGGGGGGGGGCGATAGACCGCGACCTTTCCCAGTACTAGCACGTTGCCAGCGTCGGTCTTGTTTACCGCCGTGTAATGTATCAGAGCAATTCGTCCGGACGGCACTGTGCCGTTGTTGGTTGTACGAACAACCGGAGGAAAAGCAGGGTTCTTTTGGACACCCACTGTCCGTCACACAATTGCCTAAGAAGCGAGTGCGGATGCGATGTCTACGGCTTCCTCAAGTTTCCGTCCCATGCAGCTTCTCGGCAAGAATGGACAGCCGCACCCAGAAGAAAAAACTTCACTCCGAGCAAGAACTCCAGAGTGAGTGACAGTGTAGCAACAATTTTTTTCTATGCGTACGATTGGCCTGCATGATGGATACAACAGAGGTGGTCACTTCTCCGTGATCAGTCGGCAGGTCGTTTACGTCGTGTACGTACGCTAGCTACGAATGGTACCTTCGTTTCGGTTTCGTCGATTGTGAACGAACGAACAGCAGGTACTGCAGGAAAGCGAGTGGGAGCTCAGGTTGAACGTTAAATATGTACCATCAATCATCTCTACTTGCGTGCAAACCATAACTTTGTCCTGTAGAAATATGTGCATTGTTGTACAGTTTAGAAAGGAAAGAAACTTCAAACAAAATGAAGGGGCCCGACGCTTCAAAACTGTCCTGGTTTCACTAACCGCGTTGATCACTTCATCAAACCCCATTAGGCAAATAAGACACACTGGATAACTTTAGTAAAAGGGCTGAAGCCTGGGCTAGTTGGTAGTTTTGTTTTTGTTTATTGTGCTTTTTTAGGATGACTAGCTTTGGTATATTTTTAGTTGGATCCATACAAGCACCAGCAGCCCAGCAATTGAGTTTTCTACAGAGGTGTAGCAAATCCAAGAGCTGAAGGCACTTGAATTTGCTCTACATGCTGGAAGGAAGTGAATTACAAAATCTAGAAGTCATTTTAATGTGACTGTTTTGATCAATGTTATGTTTTCCCATACCCACCGACCCAATACAAACCAGAATTTGAAAGGCAGTGATTGCATGTAGAAAACTTCGATGCCATCAACATTCAACAGTAGTTCATTTTGATTGTTCTGGAATCACAAGAGCTGCACTTCTATCCACGAAGAGCCAGATGTGGTTCACAGGCCAGTTTTGAGGAATACTGTTGTTTGTTGTTGACCTTGTGACCTCGTAGCTAGCAAATATATTTGTGGTCTCTCATGACGCATCGTAATATCCTATATAAATTTTTGTCCCCCAGGTGT